AATTGAAATTTTCATATTTATATACCATGATAGGTGAATATACTTGTGATTATTTACTCAGAATAGAAGTTATTTGTAGACGTACTTGTCGTAGACCTGAAGGATGCCATGAATATTAGAAGGCTAGAAAACATTTTCCTTGTAAAGTTTGTAGCAAACCAACTAGTGCTGAGCCTAGAATATGTAAAAAACATGCTAAAGGGTATTATATTATGAAATATTTAGATAAGAAGAAAGGCTTATAATGGTATTAGATGTGTTGATATTGAATAACGTGAAATTTATTTTTTAGTCGTCATCTAATTTAGCTATATAAATAAAAAATAGAGGGTTCTAGCTATATAAAAATTTACACTACATTTTTTTATATAGGTGAAAAAAAAAATATAGAATAAAGGCTTGCAAGGGCATGAAAACAACAAGATGACTACTTTAGTACCCAAGATGTAGAAAAAGTGGACCAGAACTCCCAAAATTGCCCTACTACTAGTGATCCATTTCTCCCTTCTTCCAAGAATTCTAAAAGTGATGTTAACTGAAAAATCTACTGCAAGCAGCCTAAGCTAGAGAGATAATATAGTCCGTGCTTTGCACATAAATATAATTTTGTAAATTTAGTAGAATTAATTCGTAATACTGGTAATTTTGATCAAATTATATATAAATTACGTCATTAGGTATGTTTTAACAACTCTAGGTAGAATTAATTTGTAACTCTAGTAAGAATAATTTAGATAGAATTAATTCATAACTCTAGTAAACTTAATTTGGGTAGAATTAATTTGTAACTTTAGTAAGTATAATTTTGGTAAAATTAATTAGTAATTCTGGTAAATATAGTTTTGGTAGAATTAATTTGTAACTTTAGTAAGTATTAATATATAACTCTGGTAAACATAATTTTGGTGGAATTAATTTGTAACTCTGGTAAGCATAATTTTAGTAGTATTAATTTGTAACTCTGGTAAGCATAATTTTGATAAAATTAATTAGTAATTCTGGTAAACATTAATTTGTAACTCTGGTAAGCATATAAATTTGATAAAATTAATTAGTTACTTTGGTAAACATAGTTTTGGTAGAGATAATTTGTAGTAACTCTGGTAAACATAATTTTGATAGAATTAATCTGTAATTCTGGTAAGCATAATTTGATAGAATTAATTTATAACTCTGGTAAGCATTATTTTAGTAAAATTAATTTGTAAGTCTGGTAAGCATAATTTTGGTAGAATTAATATATAGCTAGGGATAGAGAATTACCGTAATTTTACGTTATTTTACGAAATTTTGTGTAATCTTCTGAAAATCAAAATTATATATAATTTGTATCATGTGAATAATTTTTGCAAAAATTTTTATAATGCTTGCATTAAAAATAAATAAAAATTACAATTCCGAACATAATGATAGATATCTATTAGTACTGGCTAAACTTTTGTAATATTGGTAAAATTATCATATAACAATGCACTATTCAATGTAAAGTTATATTATAATTTCGTAAGTTACAATGTAATTTACATGAAACGTAACAGAGTAATTAGTAACTCTGATAAACTTAGCTTTGGCAGAATTAATTCACAACTCTGGTAAGAATTAATTAGTAACTCTAGTAAGTATAATTTTGATAAAATTAATTTGTAACTCTAGTAAATATAATTTTATTAGAATTAATTTTAGTAAAGCACAAAGAATTTTGATACTAAAGATGACTCATTTTCTTTGTTTCAAGAATTTACTCACGAAGATTGGAAAAACTAATTAACATTACATTATATCATAAGAAAATAATACGTATGAATATTAATAGTGAAAAACATACAGTTTTCATGTAAGAATTCTGATTATAGTACAAATACTAAAATTAATTAGTAACTCTGGTAAGCATAGTAGGCATAATTTTGGTAGAATTTATTCATAACTCTGGTAAACATAATTTTGTTAAAATTAATTTGTAACTCTGGTAAGCATGATAAGCATAATTTTGGTAGAATTAATATTTAACTTACTTAGTAACTCTGGTAAGCAGCATTAATTAATTATTAATCATCTACTTCTACTCCGATTCCTAGTTTGTAACAATTTCTGACCAAAAATATTCCAAGAATGTTTTCCAATTAAGATAGTAAATGAATGTTCTTTTCAACATAGTTTCTGAGAAAATTATAAATACCGAACTGTAAACGTAAAATAAAAACTTATTAAAATAGAAAGTTTTAATTACAGTTAAATATCTATAGTTATATAAAGATAAGTTTAAATTAGTTTTTTTTGTAAATTTAAGCTTATAATTGACAATTTTTAATAAAAATAAAGACTTAAAACTAATAATAAATATATATGTTGTGCTTTATGCAAAATAATATTAATTTAATTTATTGCTTTTCATATTTGTGCAGTGAACTTTTTATTGTTTCTAAATTATATCAGAAAACCTTTACTATTTTTTTTTTCTTGCTTATCTCAATATTCTCTTCTTTCTTTTTTTTTTGTTTGTTTACTTTTTGATAGTCTTGTAACTATTGTTTTTTCTACATTTGATAATTCTTTGTCAATAAGTTTAATCTACTCATTGCAAACACTTTTTATTTGAAAGTCAATTAAACTATTTTATTCTTTAGTAACTACATCTGTAGTATTCACCAATATCACACAACCTTTACAACTATGAACTGCTCTAGCAAAGTCTTTTATTAAAGCTTTTACTCCTAGAATTCTTAAAGATGTTCTTATTATTATCAAGCAATCAGCTTTATTCTGATTGTATATTGCTATTTGACCAATTTCTAATCTTTTAGGATATAAATCACCATAAAGAATTACTGTTAGTTTTAGCTGTCCAATAATATGAGGCCACCGTTTTTGTTCGATCTGAGCATTTT